AGTTTTTGTAAGTAACTGTTATTTACAGCTTGTAGTGTACGGTGTTTGACAGCGAAACATCAACGTAGGGGCCATAGAGGGGTGTAGGGACATGAATTCTATATAGACTTTTCTTCACTGTATAAAAGTTATACAAGTTTACCTACTGTTTAATATACTTTATTAATAAAATTTTCCATGTTAATTTATGTGTTTAATGCTAAAAATGTCGTGATATAAAGTTTAAATGTACTAATATTTAATTATTACAGTAATTATTGCGGTATTATTAGAAAAATATTATTATAACATTTATTTTTATTTAATGAGTGAGCCAATAATTATTTTATATATAAAATATAACTAAACATACCAGATTATAACTTTAACTAAACTTTATCTAAACTTAATCAATACCAATTCAATAAGTAAAGTGATAATAGCAAATATAGTGCCATAAATCAAACTACAAAACACAAATCCAAATGTTTTAAAAGTAAAATTAGCATGGTTATAAAAATAGATATTGCTATTACTCAAATGATGTTTAGTTAAATTAAAATAATAATTATTAATCCAATGGTAATAGAGTTCAGATTCACGTATACTGTAGAGACTGTAATAGAATTGTTATTTGAAATTATTTAAATTAATATGAATGTTACATTTGAGAAACTATTGAATAAATTACATTTTATTTAAGGGTTGTAATAAAAGTGACTGCTTTGGGAGACCAATAGCCGTTGGGAATAATGATAATCTATTATTGCCATATTGTCTGACAAATAATTACCAGTAATATTGTTAATAATTTAATTGTATTTAATTATATCGCAATCGGAGACAACTGAAAATAAACTATCATAATGTTTCAAGTAATTAAATAACTTGTTTTTATCAGATTTTGCTCTCCGTCAAGATTTTTAATAATTTTCTTAAATGAATTTTTAAAAATTAAGTAATGTTTATATTAGACTAATAATTAGTTCAATGTTTTTATCATAAGATTAGTAATATTAAATATTTTTTGTTTTTGATATATTAAAGTCATATTAATGCCATATTTTACTAATTCATAATTAGTAAATATTTTTTTTAATTTTTTCGTGAACTTGATATTACCACTCTTGGTAATATTCCAGTCACTGATCGTGATGAATCTGTTGGGCTCCCTGGCCAATCATCACTCCCATTGAACACATCATAGCATACGATATGCATATAATTACTAATTGCTTATTAATTACCTTTATGTCAATTATGCCTATAAATAGTCAGCGCATTTTATGTATATTTCGCAGTCTATTTCTCACTTACGAAGTGAACACTTATTTTAATATTTCTAATAAAATTATTTGTTAATTGTGTACGAATTGTACTATTTATTGTCCACTACTTGTGGCTACAATAAATGGCGACCGCACGGAATCAGGATAAAGTGGTCACAATGCCATTAGTCAAGGTAATTTATATAAATACTCAACAAAATCAACATATATGATAAATAACATGTAAAGTATAATATACTTCATATATATTTCCTATAATTTTTTATTTTACAATTAAATTAAGAAAAAAGAGTTGACAATACTATTGATGAGCGAAACAGGTGTGGGAAAATCTACATTCATTAACGCATTCGTAAACTATATGTCTTTCGAGAGTATGGATGCGGCGAACGAACGGCCCATATGTTTAATACCCGTAAGCTTTACGATGACTGACTCGAAGACAATGAGACCAGAGAAGGTAACACTCGGTAATGAGAATGACAACGAAAATACTAGAGACACAACACAATCGGCCACAAAGTATCCCAAATGTTATACATTTGAAACGGCGACGATTGTGCTCAATATAATCGATACGCCGGGAATTGCGGACACGGATGGCGTGGATAAGGATAATAGAAATATGCAAATTATTTTCGATTTTATTAGCAATTATCGGGAAATCAACGCCTTTTGTGTGCTTTTAAAGCCTAACGAAGCGAGACTCGGAGTTGTGTTCAAGTATTGCATATTTGAATTGTTCACTCATTTGAATAAAAGCGCTGCAAATAATATACTATTTCTGTTTACAAACTCCCGGAGCACTAACTACTTGCCCGGAGAATCGGGTCACGCATTGTTAAGCTTATTGAACCAAATCAAAGAAAATCCGCCAAATGTTGACATCCCTTATGACAAGAACACAATCTATTGTTTCGATAACGAGTCCTTCAGATATCTCGTGGCATCGGTTCCGCCAAATGATATACAGCTTGACCCGCGATTTAAATCCAGTTATGTTGAAAGTTGGAACAGGTATATAAAATTTTCCATATTAAATATGTTTTGTAAATATTATACAATATAACACACAATAAATTATATAAGGCTTATAAAATAAACGCAGATAATTTAAATATTTTATTAATTTAGTGTTATTATAGTTTATTATTTATTATTTTAGTTTTGTTATCATTTTGTAAATAAATAATTAATTCTGATTTAACACTAGATCTGTGGAGGAATGTCAACGACTATTTGATCGTATAATACAACTGCCGCCGCATAAAGTGATGGACACACTATCGGTGAATAACGCCAAACAAATCATTCAATTATTAATCAAACCGTTGGCCGACATCTCGAAGAATATCGCGGATAACGTAAACCAATGCGAGAGACATAAGATTGAAGTGAATAAGTTTAAGGGAACTATTGAAGAGTTAAACACTAAGCTATTCATACCATCGGTTGAGATAATAACCGTACCGTTGGGTCGGCCGCAGACTGTGTGCACCGCTGAGCGGTGTATTGAACGGGTGACAACCCACGGCGTAATTCATACTATTTATAAAACCAAATGCCATTCGCCATGCTACCTCGATTATATTGACGTTACCGTCGTGGGCAAAAGTGATTTACTCAGATGCAAAGCGTTTAACGAATCAAGCAATTGCCTATCAGAGGTATTTTTCGATATGTTATTCAAACCATTTGTAGCACTTATAAACTTATTTACCAAACAGACAGAGTGCCGGGTGTGTGGCCACAGTTATACTGAGCACATGCACCTGATGATCGATACGCAAACTAAAGTGACCATGGTGCGCGACAAGGATGTGGGCTCGCAGATCTATTCTACGCAATCGGCCGCTGAGACCAAAGAGATGCACATCAGAGGTCTGGACAAACGGATCGCTGAAATGAAGACTGAAAACGAGACAATCGCCAAATCGATGTCAATGTTTGCCTGTTTTCTATCCAACAATGCGTTGACGCCTATAAACGACGCGTTTGAGGAATACGTGCGACACCTGATAGCCAACGAACGGCACAACACGTCCGCCGGCGCCGACTCCGGGGCCACAATCACACGACTCGAGCAGGTGTTGAGGGAATACCACAGAGAGAAGCAGATAATCATAAAGGAAATGGACGGCTCGGCCGCCAATGCCAAGGGTTCGGCCATTACTATCGAAGAGATAGATGATCGCGTCAACCAACTGTGCTCACTTAAGCATAAAGGTGGCGAAATTCGGGCCATGTTGGATCAACTGAAACAGGCCAAGGTAAAGGTTGCACATAACGCCGATTACAACAAGATCCATTATAAGCCACGACTGAATTTTGAATTTATGTCCAATTTGTTTTCAAAAGATAAATAGATTTGTTATAAAACAAAAGTAACTTTATTAAAATTTCTCTTTATAACTATATTATTACTAACTATATATTAGAACTGTATTATTACTAAACAATAAAATTAAAATTTCAATTTATTATTATTGTTATTGAAACTACAGTATATAAATAAAGTTATGAAAAATAAATTAAACAATTTTTATAGTATAAAAATTGTGATGTTAAAGACTAGTAACAAATATAATGTAATGCGAGTACAGTATTACAATTATTTGAAATGATAAATTAGATAATACATTTCTAGATTTCTTTATGATAAACTCAAAACTTAACAAAATAACAGAACTTATTGCTCCATAAATGCAAATATAAAACGCAAAACCAAGATGATGATAATTTAGATCAAAATAATTACCATGCTTAATAGTGGTTGCAATGAAAATATTATTTAAACTCATATAAAATTGTTTTGTCCAATGATTGAAGAGATCTGCCTTTCGTATACGTGATAATCTTTGCAAGAAATATAAAACAGTTAATTAATTATGTACAATATGTTCACTCTACTTACATTAAATTCAAATCATCAAGGTATATTGATTTCTTGGCCAAACCAATTGAGCATAAATATAGTAAAATCTTATTATTGTTGAACAGATAATGACCGGTAATGTTGTTGAACCGTAAATAGTATAGCAATTTTTTTCGGGAATATATAAATATTATTGAATATTTTTTGTCACTTTTGGTTAAATAATCAAATATAGTGTTTGCGTCTGTTTTGATGTAATTAATAACTGTTTTCTTATTTTTATCATTTAGTTTATCCTAATATTAATCATCAATAAATTATTAAATGTATTTTATTTATGTTTCTTAATAATTATCATAATATTAAAATTATTTTACACTGTGTTAATATATTTAATTATAAGTTACCATAAAGAATTGTGTAATTGAATCCTTTTCCATTACAACTTTGAGTTCATCTGTATATTGACTTTTAATCCTATGCTCCAGAGGAACTGTAATTAACAAATATATTGCACCCGAATATGATTTATTTAATATCGTTGACATTATAATCCATATATGTAGAATATAATATACAGGGCTTTTAATAATATACTTTAGAAGTATTCTTAGTATTCTTAGTATTTAGAAGTATCCCTGTATTCTTAGTATATTTTGTCACAAAATTATTATGATTACATTCCAACATATGGTGTTTTAGTTATTGGTTTTATAGATAGTATTAGCGGTAAATAAAACAGTCATTAATAGTGTGATTGTGGTTAGGATTGAGAGCCAAATATAACTGTCGAAGGGTTGCAACAAATTGTGGAAATGGGTTGTCGTCGGCAATGGAGACGTGAATGACATGATGTCTAAATCGTATGGATAAGTATAATCAATAGCAGTTTGTCTAATGTTGGTCATTAATAAACGATATGCAATGTCTGCTTCCTGTAATATTATTAAATAAATTTATAATTGTGAAAATTTTTATTAAATATTATACATTTCTATGTAGTTTTCCCATAACTCCGGGCCATTTGCCGTTTACTGGTTTAGAGCCCCAAACTTTATGACAATCAATAATATCATAACTTATGTTCCAATGTTTGGCAATTTTGGCCAAAAGTGTCACAACAATACCATTGATAAATTCATTTTTGTTGCTTGTTAAATTATATTTCAAAAACAAGTATAGTTCATTCTATAATTGAGAATAAATTTTCAATTATCATCAAGATAAATGTCAAATGTTGTGCACATACATGACTGGTGGCCAATCTTAATGTGTGTCCATTGAATTTATGCATTATGCCACTTTAGGTTATTATATTTAGGATAAATTATTACATTTAAATAATTTAATACTTTCTAGTCATATACAGTAGTATTTATTGTTTATAATTAGTTTTAGTACAACTTGACGTAAATGCAATTTAAGTATTCTATATGAAGCATTTAGTGTTATAGTCTACGCCCATTAAATAATTAAAATTATACAATCAGTATCAACATAAATATAATATTTCTAATTAATTTTACAAAAATCTATTTATGCATTATACCACTCACATTTGTAATTATACGTCCAAATGTAGATTGAGGTTATTATATTTAGGATAAATTGTTACATTTAAATAATTTAAGTCTTATACATTCTAAGTCATATAGTTTATTACAGCCTATTATTTATAATTATTTACAAATAAAATTGTTTCTTTGTTTCTTGCAATTATTAATTATTGTGTTGTTGCAAAAACAAACTATAACATTTAAATTATTCTATTATTGTTTTGTATTTATTATTACGAGCTTAATGCATTTATTAATAATTAAACATGTGTTTAATTAACGTATGCTAAAAATAAACGTATTTGTACTGAGGTAATAATGAATAAAATGATTAATTAATGTCTACAGTAGGAATGCTTAAAACAACTATGACTCTATGTAAAACTCATAGTATTACGCCTTCGGGAAAGTAATAGCATTTTTGTAATGAAAATTTTAAATTATATTTTTAATATGAAGCAATAAATTATTTTATATTTTGTCTTGGCCATAATAATTGGTTGCTATTAACCATTTTTCGGACGGTCGTTCAGTGACTTTCAAATTTTATACAGTGAAGAAAAGTCTATATAGAATTCATGTCCCTACACCCCTCTATGGCCCCTACGTTGATGTTTCGCTGTCAAACACCGTACACTACAAGCTGTAAATAACAGTTACTTACAAAAACTGTAGCACAACTGTAACAAACTTTTTATGCTTTAATAAAAAACGTGTTATTATTATTTTAATAACAAATTGAGTTGTTTTTAAATTATGATTTCATTTAATAAATTAAGACAAAGTCTCAATTTAAAACTATCGCTGAGTGAACAGCGAAATCATGAGACGGCACAGAACGTCTCAGAAGTGATGGAACAGATGGAGACCATCGACGGCGCGGAACAACAACAACATCAGGTGATGGAAGTGATTGCACACGAAGTCCATCAGATGGACGCCCAGGAAGTGGTGGCGCATATACAGCAACAACAGCACGGGTCGGGACAACTCATGACCACAACAATCATTCAGATCATTGACGACCACAACTACGACCAGTCGGGCGGACAGGAGTTAGTGGCCCACGTGTTGGAGACGCCGGCGATGGACGACACGCAACAGGCGTTGAACGCGGACGACAACGACCGGGCAGTCGAAGCGGGCGGCGGCGCTGCCGACGATTTGGCCAACTATTGGACGATAGAGAGGAGTCAGACTGCGAGCGACGGTCGGGTGGACTTTGTGTGCAAATGGTTGTTGTGTTCATTCCGGACGACATCCGAGTGTTCAATGCGTAAACATGCGGTCAAACACCAGAAGCCATACATGTGTTCGTTTGTCGGTTGCGGCGACCAATTCAATGATCTTCAAGAACTGGTGCAACACTTAAAAGATACACATATGGACACCAATGCCTTTAAGTGTACGTTTGCTGACTGTCAGCAGAAGTTCAAAGACATCAAATCGTTGACCACCCATCGGGTGTCGCACACAACGCAACTCATTAAAGCTAACAAAGACTATAAGCCCGGCGGCCATCGGAACCGTTTACCTAACGATAATCTCCATCAAGTCTATCAACTAAATGACGAGAATTTGGTATTATATTTAATTTTTACTGTTTTTGTTAAATAAATATTATATTTATTTGAATAGACGGCCACTTATGAGATCAGCAGCGATGGCACAGCTTTGACAGACGGCACCCAATACTACGAGACGACGGCCACCAGCGAAAGTGGTGGCGGCGGTGACATAATGTGCGATCCATACGATCGGTACCGAAACAATTCACGCATCACTTCTGTGATCCGGTGTCCCATCAGTTTCCTCACCGACGATATCGTCGAAGGGAACGACAATTACGTTAAGTGTCGCTCATTTGACGGCAAATTCTGGTACAAATGTTTGTGGAATTATTGCGATTACGGGAACATCAATGAAGACATTATCCGTCGACATGTACTCAAACACGAGTTACCTTACAAATGTTTATTCAATCACTGCGGCAAATGTTTTATAACAATGGCCGCGATGGTTGATCACCGGGCGTTGGCCCACACGCCATCCAATCCATACAAATGCGATTGGCCTGAATGTATGGACGCGTTCGAGACACTCAAAGTGTTGACCGAACACAAAACCAAACACCTGTCCGAGTCGTTGCCCGTAATGAACAACACAACCATTCGGGTCAAAAAAGTGAAAGCGCCCGCAACTCCCAAACCATTTGTTTGCGATTTCGGCAAATGCAGTCAGTGTTGCCATTTTGTTCATATTTATGTGTTTTATTCATTATTTTTGTCCTTTTCAGACATGCATTACGCCACTCAAGATAAATTGGATGCCCACAAGCAGATCCATTCGGGTGACCGGCCGTACAAATGCCAATTCCCCGACTGTACGTTTGCCGCCAAATCCAAAGACAAACTTCAAATACATCACTCGCGGCACTCGTCGGTGAAGAAGTTTCGGTGTCTGTGGCCGACATGTGACAAGAGTTTTACGATTAGCGAACAGTTGCGTCGACACCGAAAACTACACACCAATAGAGAGCAACTGATCTGCGAATTTTCCGGATGTGATTTACTCTTCCACACCGCAAATGAGTTGGAGAAACACTTACGAAGACATTTGGGAATAGAAGTGTCGGCAGATTTAACAACAACTATAATTCCTGTCCCGCGCAACGGATCCGACATAACAAATATCATCACAACATTAAATATGGCGGCGCGTCCAAAGTTAATGGAACGGAGAATGAAAGGGACAGTTGAATATATGTTCACACACCCCGAAAAAGCGTTAAATAATTCAATACTTTTTGGTCTATATTCACGTCATTTAAACACAAATATTGATGTCCAAACGGCGCCCAAACAGAAGCGCAAAACAGAGAAACGCAAACATAAAGAGCCCGTCAATCATCACATCACTCACGACGAACCCGAAAAACAGAACTCACATCTGCGCGACGTGTCGTCCATTCAGAACATTCGGGCCGAAAGTCTGGCGACTGAACGCATTCCTCTCAAGAATGTGTCCACTT